CTCCTCTCACACCTGTTCCTTGTCTGCTCGTTAGCCCTCCCTTTGTCTGTCTCTCCTATATATGCTCTCCCTCTGCTCTCACTCTTTGTTGGTTCCTTGTCTTTGCTGTCTTCCCAGGCTGTGGTCTATGTTCCTCGTCTCTTCCTGGCTCCTCGTGTTTGGTTTTCCCCAGATGTCTCCTCTGTTCTGGTTTGCCTTTTATTATTAGTTGCATTTTTGGATCCCTGCCTTTGTTTACTGTTTTGCCCCATTAAAACTCCCAAGAGATCTCCTCAGCCTCTGCCTCTGCATTTGGGTCCTCCAAACCACAACTAAACCCTGACACTGTTTATCTGTCTTTTGTACTATCAAACCTTTTTTATATTACTATTAACCAGAAGTGTGGACCATTTTTTTATTCAAATCAGGATTAAGGATTAAGACTTGATTTGATAATTTTAGGGCTTGCAAGTTGATGTTGAGTTAAATGCTACATACTTGTGGCTTGATGTGGACTTGAGACAAGAGATGTCCCTTACTTATTATTGGATGCTCTCATTTGCTTTTATTTCTCTTTTTTTTAAGAGAGTAGAAATAAAAGTTTCATCCTACTACCACTGTCAAATGTAACATTACGCAGTCACACGCATCGAAAAACGTTCACTTCTCCTATCAATCAAAAACACATTTACCCTGGGGAACTGTCTAGAGATTAATATAAGACACCCCATTATGTTTTTCTTCTTCAGTCCTCAGTCTGGCTCGCAGCGTCTCCCATGGTCGCCATCTTTTTGTTTTTGCACAACAGGTAATATTATGTAGGGAAGGTGGAGAGCCCTAGTACTGGCTTTCCAAATGGATTGATGTCAGGTAAAGGTTCTTAAAGTGCTGTTTCTGGAAACCTCTCACCTATTGTTTATTTCCTCACCTCCTTAAAATTTAAGGATTTCTCATTGTGTCTTATTTACAACTTGAACTTTAAAGTCGTAGGGAAGTCAGATTCTGACTGGCTTAAACATGTATATAAATGTACTATTTATCAGACTACATTGTCCCAAAATTTAGAACATTTCTATTGAAGAAAAAACCTGTCTTATAATCTGTGTTTTTTTATTTTATTTTATGCAGGCCAGTTAGTTATATGTCAGCTTGTACACCTAAATTCGGCCAATCATATATCAACGGTCATCTGTCCATCTAATTTTTGCGGTCATAGCATCTTGATTCAATATACGTAACGGATAAGAATCGTTTATTTTACCATTGAGTTGCGTCCCATTGTTCAAAGAGATGAACGTCTGTGTCTTCGGCAGGCGTAGAGCTAACAGAACTGGCAGCGTTGCGAGGCAAGGGCTCAAACATGTATGGCCGTAAGCCTTATACACCAAACCAAGCTTCTGCCGCCCTGGCGTGCTCTTCCACAACAACTTTGTCCCCGCTTTCCTCCTCTAAATAAAAAATGTATGACGGAGGAGACTCATCCATGACCTCCGACACAAAACTCTCCTCCTCTTGCATGTTTCTGCTGTGCATAGCGTTCCTTGACAGTTTGGTTTCGAAGTCACCAATTTAGTGCTACTTCGTCCCAATGTAATTTCCCATTGGGAACCTACTAGCACTAAGTTGCTAACTGGCTAGCAAGATGTTTCCGATAAACCGGCCACAATAAAACATGCTTGTAAACCTTCCGCCACAACAATCCCGCCCCCTTGATAATCGACCAATCACATAGGATACAAAAAGTCCTATTACCATATTTGTTTGAATATTGTATATCTGTAAAAAAAAATTCTATAATTATCTGTCGTTGCAAAATTTTGACATTTTGAAAAATGTTTTTCTATATCACAACATTTTAGAGGTAGATGTCCATTTTTCCTAATTATGCGTAAATTTAGCCCAATGCTTCCTTAGGTTGATGGCATGCCCTTTCAGGGTCATTTTATTGTATGCTGTAACAGTAAAGGAGCTGTCTGCTCAATTTGATGTAGACTAAACTCCAGTCACCTCTACAAATGAAATATAGACTGATTGTTTTCCTTAAAAAAAAGATAAACAGCTTAAATTGCTCTGACTTTAGCTGCAAGCAAAAGAAGACATTGAGAGATTATTTATTTGTTAGTTTATTCTGTAAGCAGAAACAGGAAAGGAAAACCTTAATCGAAGAAGAACACCATTCATATTACCTACTCTGCTGCATGTGCGATGTGCACAGTGTCTGCATAGATTAGTTTACTAGGAAATATAACAAAATTCATCAATGTCATTTCCGCTTTGCAGAGACTCTGCAGAGCCACTGCAGAGCCAAGTGCTTAAAGGGGTCATAGAATGCAAAACTGAGTTTACCTTTTCATAGATGAATAACGATAGTTCAGTGGGTGAAATCGAGGTAGAGAGAAGTTCAAACCCCATCGACACCTCCTTTCTCTGCAAATCAAACAATTCTAAACTTCCACCATAAAACGGGCGAATTCTAATGAAGTACTGAATTGACGTAAATTCGGGGATGTTGCCTTATTTGGTTCTGGCCTGTACTTTTGTCGTACCCCGCGATTGACATACAGACCAGCCCACTGGTTCACTGGCCCAAGAAGATGCCGGTTTAACTGTTTAGCCTACAGTTGGGTTTACTTCTACAAGAATTACAAAGCAGGCAGTTTCTCTATTGAAAATGAGCCAGAACCACGGGCGTAAATGCAGTGTTCTGGGCTATAAAGAGAAAGGGGAAAATATTTACAGTCTTCCAAGGGATCCGAAGACTCGACATGCATAGATTATTTAAAGTTTGATGCTCGGCTGTTCATTTGCTCTAAGCATTTTACCGGAGACAGCTTTCAAGATCTTGGACAGTTCAAAGCATGATTTCCTAAAAATCTTTTACTGAAAGGAGGGGCTGTTCCGACCATAAGGCCATCACAACCGGAAGCTGTTAGTATGATTCTGTCGCTAAGCTGTTGATAGCAATTCTATCATATCTATGGTGACCAGATTTTGGTTTCTTAAAAGTAGGACACTACAGGGGTTCCGGGCTGCTGGGTTGCTGACTGGTGACGATATGCTTCCCCCCGCCTGCCTTACAGCGCTTCTCCCCGTGCTTCCGGTCGCTGTTGTCCAGGCTACCCTCACCGGGTCGGTTTTGGTCGCTCCTTACCCCGCTGGTTCCTTGCACCGGACCAGCCCCGGCGCTCACGGCTCGGTTCTGCTGCACTGTAGTTGACGAAAATCCCGGACAATTTTGAAATTCCCCCTGGACACTTTTTTAGGTATGAAAAGTAGGGCATGTCCGGGAAAAGGGGGATGTCCGGTCACCCTACCATATCAACAATTTGATGTTTTAGTGAGTGAGTGCTTGTTGCTTTGATGTGTCTCTGCTAAGCAGCTTTGCATGTTATAAAGCAACCAATCAGGGCACAGCTCATCTAAATAGAATAGGAAGAAGGAATAAGACCTGTCGTTTCATTCTGCGGCTTTTAACCAGGCTTGCATTAAGGCTCATAGAACAGCAAATATGCCATTTTCTGCCCAACCAATGTTACACACCCTATTCAGAGACCTTAAAGACCAGCACCATATACCCTGTATATTCGTATATAGAGATTATGGATTATTGTTAAAAGTAGAGGGAAGCACCTACTTCATCTTTTACACCCAAACAAAGTAAAGCTTTTAAAGACTAATCTTTTTTAAACTCTTTAACATGTATAGATATGGCTCTGCATTGTTATAACAAGATGTTATAATATACTCTTCAAGCCTTCCTTCCGAAGAATTACCTTTAAATGCCTTAGTCTAAATGAAAAAAAGGAAAAAACAGAGTGTTTTACCCTTGGCTACTTGAAGTGGATGATGTTTTGGGCTATTTGTTGATTTCCGGCCTTGTAGAGGCAGCATCAGTGGATTCCTGCTGCTCACCATTAAAATGCCAGAAAGCCTTGTAACAGACCAAAGCGCCACATGGTGTGTGTGAACCGAGGAGACAAATTAATTCATCAAAGTCATTTAAAAACCATTTTGAAGAGAGATGGAGCCGTAAAATACCACAATTTCAGGTTTTTCTGGCACACTGTCTGTTACACAATCCTCTCATGCCCTCTTGAGAATACCGTGCTCACATAACATAGTTGAACACACTAATTCAACATTTCATTTGGAAATACAAATGAGAAAAAAGCCAAAGTGAGGCTGGTAATAGCCCAAAGCTCTTCTCATTGATGCTTGAAAAAAGCTCCGGTGTCTTGTAGCTTGGATACAAGGAATGCCTGCTATCAGGGAACAGCGCCCAAACAGAACATGTCGACAGAGCCGGGTGAGTTCCTGTGGATCTACACTCTCACCTCCACTTGGCACAGAAAAGGGTCAATATTTAGAATAATGAAGTGGGAGCTTTTTCTGTGGCTCTGGCAGCGGGGAGACTGACACTGTTGACTGTCAGTCACTTGCCTCTGCGTTGCGATGGAAACAACCTTGCTGCTCCACTCCGGGGCTAATTCTGTAGAAGAGAGAAAGCTTGTAGAAAGCAAAAAAAGAAAAGAAAAAATCTGCACGCATGAGTCATCTGCTAACACATACACCCAGAGCTACAGTATTATCGCTACGAGCAGCCTCTCAGAGCTCCCTGCGTGACTGTAGCTTAACACAGCCGCCACAGAGACCACATGAGGGAAGAAAAGCGACGGAAGACTGTGGAGAGGTCCACAGACCTCTCCACATCACATTCCATCACATTTTCGCCAACTTCCAGGACTTCTAGCAGCCAAGAGGCTTGTGCTCAAAGACTTACACATTAGTATCAGTCAATTTTCCTCCATATCTGTGGTGTCTTCCTCTAGTCATAAGCACTGTACAATAGTATTTCCAAATGTTACAACAATTGGGCAAATTAAAGGATTTGCAAAACTTTGACAGAGACCAAGCAACAGAGGGAACATTATGTAACTAGGCGACAGGTACATGTGTGTCAAAACCTCACTGATCCACTGGGAGAGTAAAGGATTTCAGCTTCCTTACACACGTGCTTACCTATACGTACCTGGCAGGGGAGGTACCTTGATCATGCAGAAGGTTTAACCATAGTGAGGTTCGGCCATTGCACCCCGGCGATTCTGACTTTGTGAATTCCCCAAATGTGGGAATCTCGACTGCTTCATTTTTGTTAGTGGTGGACACCGTACATGCTCTCCCCTGTTTGTTTTTTTTGGGAGTGGTGACCAAGTGGTTAGAGCATAGTGCTTGGAATCCAGAGGCTCTGAGTTCAAGTCCCACACAATCCCATGGGCTGCCACTCTGGGTCCCCTGAGCAACACCCTTAACCGCAGACTGCTCCCCGGACCCCGCATAATGGCAGCCCACTGTTCCACAAGGGGATGGGTTAAATGCAAGGAGTTAATTATGTTTCTCTATACTTGCCACAGTGTAATGACAATAAAAAAGGTGAAAAAAAAAATAGTTCAGGTGCTTCTATAGACCCGTTTGGATGCCCATGCTGGTCAGAGAGTAGGACATTGTGTGCTGAAAATGTAAGGAATTTTTTTTTGCATTAACCCTAATTAAAAACATAATTTGCTTTCTGTCAAGTACATGCATTTAAATCTATTTGCTTTGAAGCAACTCATTATCTGTCAAAATGATCAATTAAAGTGCCGTACATTTAAATACAGTCTTCCCTTCTTTCTAAAATAGCTCATACTCAATCAAATATGATAAAGAGCAGCTTTAGCCATCAACTCTCAAGTATTGCTACAACTTCTCACTTTTATTTAGATCAGAATTTTGACTGAGACATTCATACAAGTGAAAAGGCACTGTGGTGTTTTTGCATGTTCAAACAGTGTTAAAACATCCTCTAATCACTGAAATGCAGTATGTGTAAGACTGATTAAATGTCAAGTAAAGAAAGCCAAAAACAGTCAAAATATGAAAGTTTTACTTCTGTTGATGCAGAAGCAACCATCAATAATGACATAAAGGTAATGTAGGGTATGGTTTTCTTACCCCATTCGAAATTCAATTTTGAAATGTCCTTCCTGGGGGTCAGAAAGTACGAGTTCTGATGACAAATTGAACAAACCGTTAGCAAACAGCTAACTTAATTTCTTATGGCTTCATCATGCAACACTATGTGTTGGTCTGTACATAAAATAAAATAAGTATAACCGTTCAAGTGGTATTTTCAATAATTTTGCAAGGCTTGATAGCAACACATTCAGATAAAAGGAAGTGGAAATTTCATTATGTTCCTAAATGTAGTTTTAGTAGTTTGATTAAAAATTGTTAAATATTCTTAGAAAAATTGGAAAATGGCTCTTATAACAGTTTCTACAAAAGGCATGTCTTCTGTCAAAGCCTTTTTTCTTTAGTTTTATATGTATGTCTGAGGAGAATAGGAAAAAATATTTATTCAGGTTCTGTTTATTTTAAAAACAAACATTTATCCTGGAAGCTTTCTGCTCAGAGGACATAGTGACACACACATTCTCAACACTCCTTTTGTTGATGAATATACGAAGCAATACTGACTGTTAAACCCTGAGGAGTAGGTTTCTTCCACAAACCAAACTGATATGTTTTTATTTATGATCATTTTAAAGTTTACAGAGATTTTCACTTAAAATACCAGAGCTGTGGAGTGAAGAATGTAGGAATGAATGCTGTGGTTTCTTTCCAGATGAACCAGTCAGACCGATGCCTGTCCTGTGCAGCAGTCGGTCGTGCTGCTGCTGCAGTGTAATGTTGTGAACGGAGATTAAGCTCCCCTTTAATCCTCCTCCGCTCCACATGACCTCACTGTGATGCACAAGCCAGGGGAAGTTGTCATTGGTGTGTTGCGCCATCTCCTTGGCGGCCGGTGGCCAATCAGAGCCCATCGGCACAGCATCCACCCCCATCAGCGCTGCCAGTTGTGGAGGGAGGTGTGTGTGTATTCCTATGTGTGTGTGTGTGTGTGTGTTGGGGGATGGCTAGGTGTTGGGGGATGGCTAGTTTCTATGAATGGAAACATGGAGGTGAAGATGCTAATGATGAGGAATCCTATATAGTGGCTGTCCAAGGGACTCCACCCCTTTGTTCATCCCCCCCCCCCCCCCCCCCCCCCCCCCCCCCCACTTTTCTCTTTTTCATAAATACTGTAGTAATACATATTATTCCAATCTGTGGTATTGTATTATTTAACCATAAACATTAATAGTACTCACCTCTATGCTGTTACATGAATGTGATTAGATCACCTTCCCATTTATTTTTGTTTAGCACAGTTGCTTTGGGTTTTAGTTCAAGGTTATCTAACAGTCAGAATACAATTTTATATAATAAAAATGTGATTATATGGGACTACTCAGCTTTAAATATCATACATATGGTGTCAGACACATTAACTAGCATTCTGTATTTCTTAAACACACCCTGCAGAGCCTGGCTCCAAATGATTAAATGGTTATACTTGTAATAAATTCCATTTTAGGCTTTTGAAATATCCAGATCTTATAAACTAGGTCTTATATGACCTTTGGACCAGGTGTTCCTTCTTTTCTCCTTCTCTATTATTTCTTTATTTTTGTGTTATGATAGAGAAGGTTTGGTGACATTCGTCCTTTTCATATATTGTAATTCAAGTTGGCTGTTTGGTTATTTTCATGCTTTGATACAACTCCCAAGATCCTTAATGTATGTAAATCCCTTTATTGTCCCACAGTGGTGAAATTCACCCTCAGCATTTAACCCATTCCCTTGGGGAGCAGTGTGCTGCCACCGTGCAGTGCCCGTTAAGCAATCATGGGGTTAAGGGTCTTGCTCAGGGAGTCAGAGTGGCAGTCTGTGGGAATTTTTGGGATTTGAACTCAGAACCTCCAGGACCCAAGCGCAATACTCTAACCACTAGGCCACTACTCCCCATAATGGGGACTAAAAAGCCCCTGTGGATACATTTAAAGCCAAACTGACGTATTCTAAATTCTTTGGAGTATTTTAATTAAAGTACTGTTATTTATCCCCATCAGCTACCTTATTGTAAAACAAAACATAATATTGAACAAGGTTTGGCCTGAAAACGATGCCATCAGTAGATTTTTTTAGAACTAGTAAATGATAATAGCTGTGCAGCGTACTTTGTATGAAGGCGCTCTACCTGTGTAATAGGATTGGAGTCACGTGCCACAGCTAAGAAAACAAAAACAATTTATAAATAGTTAGATTTACTCAATGAAGTTATTCAACTGTTTAAATATGAGCCCTAAATCACAGCGGTTCTCACAAATCTTATAAAGTTTTCAATTTAATTTGTAGAACATGCATAAATCTTGTTTGAGGTGTATACAGTGTATAAATATTACAGTTTATTGCTGCAGCTTATAAATTGAACCTTCAGTTTAAAAAAATAGCAGTTAAAGCATCTCATGTTTGGGTAAATAACTTGGTAATTTAAAAGAAGTGTATTTTTATAAATATACTGTGACACAGACCCTCATTACTTTTGACAGTTGATTGATGGGAGTACCAATGAATGTAATACGTTTCCCGATCTTTAGAATGAAAAAAAGAAAAGAAAGAACAGCATTCATACGAAGCATGTTTTCCAGCATATGTTGGGATGGCATTTATGTTACTAAAGCATTTATTAAAAAATGGAACTGTGCAGAACAAGTCAGTACAAGAACAAAGGTTTTTCATGCCACCATACACAGCCAGGAGGGTCATAATGGGAGAGAAATATCCAGAAGAAACATTGGAGACCATCTGCATCCCAGATGAGGCCAAAACAGCATAGAGACGGTTCACTGGACACAGTTTTAACACTACATAGTCTCCTGCTAATGTGAATCCAATAATAATGAGAAGAGGGTGACTAAATGTAATAATGTTTAATATTGTGGAGTTAGATACTCCATGTTCCTTCTAACTCAGTTTAGTTTGGATACAACAGCTCTACAGTCCTGAATAAAGAGTGTCAGAGGCAGACATCATGACCCCAGATCTTTCTCAGATGTTCCGGCTCGTCTGACCGACGTTTCCTGTAATGTTTGCTTATAGAAACAGAGGATGATATTTCTCTGACGTAGGGGCCACATCGTTTCGAGCAGAACTTTTCTCAGGAGATCGCTATGGTTACTGCTTTATGGGGGCATGCTGTAACTACTCCGCTCTTCATGCTTCTAGCCCTTGACCCAGTTTGAGAATAAATTCAAGGACCTGACAGAACCACTTTCTATGGAAGGAGATGAAGTTGAAATCCGTCCATTTGTGCCGCTTTGCTTTAACTTTCCAGCTGAATGCATCATTTTTCATACTGTATACTTTACAATTAACCTTCTTCGATAACAGAGAAGTTGAAGATTAATTGAACGTCTGCAGCAGCCTTTCAGAGGTGCCAAGTTTTTAATGACTGCAATGAACCATTTTGAAGCAGCTTAAAATAAAGTGACATAGTCTAAACTGATGTAAAAATCTTATTCTGTTGTATAATCTGCAGCAAACCAGCAGTCTGACAGGATCACGGTATTCTTGTGACTGTAGTCAGTATACACACATTAGATATTCAGTGAAAATAGGTGATTTGATTATTTGCAGAAAAAAAATAAACATTGTTTTATTCAATAAACAAAAGGTGTCAGAATTTTTTTTAATTTGAAGAAAAATGTTGGACACCTTTGAGTCATCAGCGTGAGGCTTGTTGTATGCATCTACCGGTCTCTGATTTCGGCCTCAGGACAGTTTTCCAGCTTCTACAACGTCAGGTTTTCTGTGTGCACTATTTCTCTCTTAATTAGGTCTGGGCAATTAATTAACAAAATTTATTCAACGCATTTTTTTGTATGTGAAGATTTCATTTTTGAAAAAATCTCGATTAATTTTCACCAATCCATTCCTGTTCCTTCAATGGCTCAGAGTAAAATTTGTTCAAAAAGTGATTAATCAGATTTGGGAGGAAAAAAAATCTTAGATTAGAGATTAGATTAGGTCCTAATATGGTCTTAATATAAGGTTATTTTCCTCGAATTCTGTTTTCAATTCAAATGTAGACTCCTTAGTCCAAAGAGCATTATTCCAGAAATCCTGGTATTTGCTACCTTCTCTCTGGCAAATTTAAATCAGGCCATAATATTTTATCCTATAGATGAAAGTTTTTCTGCTTCAGCACCTCTCAGTAAACTTCTACAGTCTCTGATGTACAGGCAGACACTTTTGTACACTAA